ATTAACGTGATGACTTTAATTTTTCTATCGTCAACGTCCCTTACTTATGCAGCAATATACCTTCATCAACTGCATACGGAGTATATATATCTCAGTTGATTCGATACGCACGAGCATGCTCTACGTATTAACAATTTCTTAAATGAGGTAAACTATTGACAACCAAGTTATGAAATCAATTGTAAGTCCATTATTCATACACTGAATTGACGACAGATTTTTTTCTGTTATTTCCTGATTATGACACGGCGGGAGTGACCGGTCGGCAGGGGATGCTCACTCCATGGCACCCAATCCCACCTCTGATGTTCCGGAAGTCCGTGTTTGCTCTGCTCTTATTTTGTATATTGTTTAATGGACGTTGCTATTGAATATTGATCGTTGTTTCCATATCCTCCTTGTGTAAAATGGACATTAAGCATTTTTTAAATATTGAATTGTTTATGTTTGTCAGGTTTCGGAAGAGATGCACCCAACCCAGGCTGTGTTCAACACGACAACCCTCGCAGAAACGGCAGCGACTACCTTCAGTAAGTGTATCATGTATTTATTTTTTTTCCCAACGTTTTGTTTTTTGGTTGAAAAAAATAACTTTTGTTTTTACGAGAAATCTTGGTTTAACAAATACCCCCAAAATCCTGTCATTATTTGCGAGAATTGACTCATAGAATAAAATATATTTTCTAGACACTCCCTGGATAATCGTCGCAGGAATATCGACCCTTGTGGTACTCAGCATTGCAGTGTGCCTTTGTGCAGTGCTTGTCATCAAGAGATGCGCGCAGAGAAAACGGGCGAGGTTTACCACTGAGATGGACGATATTTCGGTGACGGAGTTTGGGCAATTCCAAAGTGTCAAATTAGACTGAACAAACTCTTTTATAGCCTTCATCTTCTTGTAGTGATCTTTACCCAGTGGAAGTGCGCCGTTTTCGTTTGAACTGAAGCCCCCGCGCCAGTCTGCCATCAAAGGGAACCGACACCCGACCTTAGACGTTCACAGCGCGTTAGGAGAGTGCCCGAGAGACTTGCGTATTGAACTGTGTGTGTGTCTGTAATTTTTTGGTACATATCCATGCTGCATTAATCTCGCGTTTGTAAAATAAAAGTGTATATACATGTATATAAATATTCTTATCCTAAAAAAAAAGTCAGTGACTTTGTCCATGGCTAGTTTTTTTTTTTCTAAAGGAAAAAATTCAGAATTATTGTATATATGGGAATAAAATACTGTCATTACATGTTTATGTTCATCTAACTCCTGCAAAAAAGCTACAACGAATTTGACATGTTTTAAATTGTCTTCAATTTGGTATTGCTTTCATTGCCATTAGACAAAATCGAATTGAGGTTGAGATTGAGACATTGATACAATTGAGAAGTTTACCACAAGGTATAGTAATCTTATGCAAGGAACTCTGTCCAAAATGACTTGATGTGAATAGATAGTAAATTGGGTATTTAAATGCTAAAGAGTTGATTATTTTACTTGGTTTCAATAAGAGTTCATGTTTGTTTAGTTCCCTGAATTTTGAAATTTTGTTTGCACAAACATAGAATTTGAGTGATTAAGGCGGATAATTGCAATAAATAAAGAGTTTTATTACGGGGTAAGCTAAAAAAACAATATAATGCATTGCACTCTATGCAAATTAATTTGTGTAAATAGTTAGTTAATGTAGTGGTCCTGGAGGAGCTGGGGACGAATTCCCTAGTAGCCTCCAATACGTGTCCAGCAATGATGCGGGCTATGACGTAATTCTCTCTCTCTTGTGCTGATTGTCGAACCGATTAGACGCGTTAATCAGTCCTCTGTGTAAGTCATTGTATTATTAGGGCCCCGCTTGGCGGGCGCCCTATAGTGATCAGTCTGTCTGTCCGTCCGGCTGTCCGTCCGTCCGTACGTCCGAGATCTCTTGTCCAGGGCACATCTTCTCTCTTCTTGGCCCAATCTGGCTCATACTTCACCCACAAAGTGCCTTTGGGTAACCAGTGTGCGGTGACCTTGAACCAGGTTTCTAGGTCAAAGGTCAAGGTCCACGCTGAATTATATGACAAATCCTTGTCCAGAGCATATCTTCCCTCTCCTTGGCTCAATCTGGCTCAAACTTCACCCACAGAGTGCCTTTGGGTAACTGGTGTGCAGTGACCTTGAATCAGGTTTTTAGGTCAAAGGTCAAGGTCCAAGCTGATTTATATGAAAAATCCTTGTCCGGAGCATATTTTCTCTCCCCTTGACCCAATCTGGCTCATACTTAACCCACAGAGTGCCTTTGGGTAACCAGTGTGCGGTGACCTTGAACCAGGTTTCTATGTCAAAGGTCAAGGTCCAAGCTGAATTATATGAAAAATCCTTGTCCGGAGCATATCTTCTCTCTCCTTGGCCCAATCTGGCTCATACTTCACCCAGAGTGCCTTTAGGTAACCAGTGTGCAGTGACCTTGAATCAGGTTTTTAGGTCAAAGGTCAAGTACCATGCTGAATTATATGAAAAATCCTTGTCCGGAGCATATCTTCTCTCTCCTTGGCCCAATCTGGCTCATACTTCACCCACAGAGTGCCTTTGGGTAACCAGTGAGCACTGACCTTGAACCAGGTTTCTAGGTCAAATGTCAAGGTCATATCAGAAATATATGAAAAATTCTTGTCCGGAGCATATCTTCTCTCTCCTTGGCCCAATCTGGCTCATACTTCACCCACGGAGTGCCATTGGATAACCGGTGTGCAGTGACCTTGAACCAGGTATTTAGGTTAAAGATCAAGGTCATAGCAGAATTGTAAGAAAAATCCTTGTCCGGAGCATATCTTCTCTCTCCTTGGCCCAAACTGCCTCATACTTCACCCACAGAGTGCCTTTAGGTAAACAGTGCGCAGTTACTTTGAAGCAAGTTTCTAGGTCAAAGGTCAAGGTCATAGCAGAATGATATGAAAAATCCTAGTCCGGAAAATATTTTCTCTTTTGTTTGCCCAATCTGGCTATTGCTTCACTCATAGAGATCCACTGGTCAATGGATCTGCAGTGACCTTGGTCGAAGTTTCTAGGTCATGGTCAGAATTAACCTTTCTGTTTAAAATCTTTGTTTGGTGCATAATTCTTTGCCTTTAATTCCAGTAATTTTATATAACTTGGGATACAAGATAACTTCGATAAATATTAGTAAATTTGCAGTATCCGTGAAGTCGTACTAAATGACTTTTACTGTATAACACAAATGTTCCTTTTCAAAATAATCCCTTTTAAACGACCTTACATTTTCATGTTCATTGTTGAACGCGGGGCCCTTTGAGATGGCCACCATCTCAATGATATCTAGTTGCGATATATTATTGGCGACCACTAATAAACGTGCGGAATTTTACTATAGTGTTTCTGTTATCCGCCATCACAGATATGTAATCCGCAGAAATACTTTATTGACGCTGCGACCCAGGGTTTTTTGTCTGGGCAGCGGGGTGCCGGCCTAACCTCGTGTTATTAGTGCCGTCGCCATCTTGAATTTTTTGTGACTTTTTATTTATGATGAAACTTTATAAGGCTAGGGTCTTTGTGTTCTTTGTTGTATTATTTCAGCGGATTAGCCGCGGAATATTTTCATGTACCTTTAATAAATTTATCTTGTGATATAAAGACTGGTGTTATGGACCGAGAGATTAGCTCGTTTGGTCTGGGTAGGGGGGCTGGTATGCTTGCAGATGGGGAGGAGACCGGAGTGGTCTGATAGGTGCCCTGTTAGAGTGCAGTCAAGGGAAAGTCCCGCCTACTCAGAGGGTGTAGTTTGTCTCAGGTGTTGATAGTACACCGGTGCCCCAGGGGGGTGCCCTGAATAATATCACTCAGTATGGGGAGGGGGACATGTCACTCACTCAGGGAGCTATTTCGGAGGGTCCAGCATAAACACCCGGATGGTCAGCATTTTATTCCCTCCTCTAGGAACGACAAGGGGAAATGGGTCAAATTCAAGGTGACCTGTAAATAAAAGGGTGGATACCCTAGGTCGAGATATGGGGACCCTGAGAGGGGATATTGATGCCCTTGGGACTAGTGTCAGCAGTGTGTCAGAGCAGCTGGGGTCTATGGGATCACACATAAATGCCTTTGAGACAAGTATGGTAAAGCAGCTGGGGTCTATGGGATCCGACATTGGGTTTATGGAGACAAATATGGGGGGCCAGTTGGGTAATATCACACAGATGTTGGCTGGAATGATGAAGGCCAGTCATGTCCAGTCACCCCCGCCCATGCAGGATAATAGAGTCAGTCAGCCAGTAGTGACTAGTAGCCAGGGGAGTCCTTGTGTCCCTAGCGCACTACCCGGACATCAGATTCCTGCAAGTACCCCAGTAGTGTCTGCACATAGCGGAGAGTCTATACCTGTCTCTGTGGGGGAACCCAGTGTACACATGTCTCAAGGTCATTCCCTTTCATCACTTGGCAATGAAAATTTAGTCTCAAGATTGCCGAGGACTCGGTTGCACATTCGAAACTCAGGCATTATCCTGTTATTGACTTCGCAAAGTCAATAAGTTTGACATTATTGAGGTAACCTTTGTGTTTTTATAAGTTTTTAAACGATGAAAAAATGTATAATACTTTTTTACTTTAAAACCATTCGTTGTGGTATTCTATACACATACAAAAAATCGTTTTTTGTTAGTCCATTATTTATACACTGAATTGACGACGGATTTTTCCGTTATTTCCCGATCATGACAAGGTGCACACGACCGGTGTGACCGGTCGGCAGGGGATGCCCACTCCTCCATGGCACCTGATCCCACCTCTGATGTTTCAGAGGTCCGTGTTTGCTCTGCTCTTATTTTGTATATTGTTTAATGGACGTTTAGATTGAATACTGTTCGTTACTTCCATATCCTTCTTCTGTGCATTTATTTTCCTTTCCCCATACATGGAGATTAATAATATGTTCAATATATTGTATGCTTTATGTGTACAATATTGAGTTATAATACATTCTTATATTGTACCTCCTTTCGTTGTATTTGTTGTTTCTTCATCATCAGATATTTCTATGGCCATGGACACAGGAGTGATTGAAGAGGAACGTGGACTCATAGGAACTGTAAGTACGTACCAGAACAATATGAAGTGAAAACTTTGTTTTATAATATGTTGTATAAGTTATGTGTTAACGACGAATTAAGTATTACCTCTTTTCCTGGACAGGCTAAGTGATTTTCTGGTGCTTGTGTCTGCATGGGAGGTGCAATGGCTCATTTCTGTCTTACTTTTGGTGACTGTAAGTAAATTTATTTTCTAATTTTTAGTACAATGTTTTAACTTTTAAAATTAACATACAAAATTTAATGTTCAAGTGCATTTTTCATATATATGAACATCATGTATGAAAGTGAATAATTTACAATTTATTGTATTTCTATATCTGTTGTGCAGGGACTACCAGTCAGCGTCTTATCTGGATCTGATAAGAAGACGATCAATGCTGCCGAAGCTTTCCAGTGCTTGGTGTTGTCTGGCGTGCACAGTTTCCTCACTTGCCGTTCTGTTCCTGGAAATTGTTTCTGATTCCTCAGACTCGCTACCACAAGGTCAGAACCTGAAGTTGTTTCAACATCCTCTAATTCGGACCCAGCATCTGTGTTTTCCGCATCAGTGTTTCCTAAATAATTTAACATTATGTAATATTGACAATCAGAGGGTGTTCATATACACGTATATATATATATATATATATATATATATATATATATATATATATATATATATATATATATATATATATATATATCCTTTCCATATATAACATAGTTAAAGCTGAACACGACTCCTAAATAGGCATACGCCATTTTTGATAGCATTATATACGATACATCAATACTAGGGTATACTCGTCGCATTCGTTACACCTGACTGCTTTATTATCATCGTGGTATCAGCGTGGAATGGCGACCCTTGTTCGTGCTGGTTATCTTGCATTACTTTTGTTAATATGCTATTGCAGTTACGTTTATCTATGTTGTTGTATACTGCACTGACTTATACAACTATAATTGTAAATTTATTTGGTATCTTACTTTCCTGCATTAGACGAAACATTACGTTATTATTCTCGCTACTAAGTCCTGTATAGCATACGTCCGTCTACATGGATGTCCACTGATTAAACTGAACAGTCTCTTATTCTTGCCCTATTTATAGAGGTCTGCAGGGTAGCGAGTCTCGGGAACTAAAATGGCGGATACATTTCTTTTACGAATCGTGTTCAGCTTTAATGTTTTGGTGAAAGGGGGGCATTAGAAGCATGAAATCGTTGTACCATTCATTAATTAATGTCCTAATAATTTTCAGTTACTACTAATAATTCCTATTGTTCAATATAATAATTACAATTTTGTTTCAACCTGAACCTTTTTTCATAACATTAACTTTATTTTTTTCACCACTTTATGCTGTTGTTTACATGAAATGTTGATTTACCTGGTCAAATGTCCCATTCAGATAACTGGGATTCTGGGATGCATGACCATGTGTCAAACAGTGGTGTCTCGAATTATAGTTGGGTAGTTGGTCCAAGGGGTATACAGATCGTAGAAGGACTCGTATTCATCAGGCTTCAACATTGACCTCCACATTATCTCTGAAATGTGTCCTTCAAACTGCGTGTTCTTCGTCCCAGACATACGCTTGAAATGATCTTTGTCATGTTTCCTTGCACCCTCCATGCAATTGGTATGCACCTCCTTCTCCTGTCCAGATATTAAGTTACTTTTCTTAAATGCATACTTATGTATAACAGTGAAATGTTCATCCCCTAAATCGTTAAGTGAACAGTACGCTGACCATCCGTCAGTGTATATCTTGCCATAACGTTCTACGTGTCTCGATTATGGGAATGAGAGTGTCCTCTGACCTATCCCCACTGGATAAAGAATCAGGGTGTTGCTTTCTCTCTTCACCATACCAAATATCCATATCTACAGGAAAAATTATAAACTTGCTTATTAATGTTGTTGAAAATAGTAAAAATTGCCATTTTCTAAAATTTTCAATGGACATGTGATTTAAATGACTTTGTAATTGGTTATATTTTCAATAAACATATGTTTATGTTTTGTTATAATATAAATTACTTTTAAATATCTACTTAATGAACACATTAAATTGTGCATTATAATGCTTTATTTTATACTGAATTTACCTTTATTCTCTTGTTCGGATCTCCCCTGTGATGTTCGACTCTTCTCCAAAAAGTGATTCGTCAATCTCGATGGTTCCTGATAGTTTCTTCTTCTTTATAGTTACCTCATAATATTCTTTGAATAGTTCTCTTATGAATGATGCCCAGTTTACACCTGTTGACTTGTAAGCTATTCCAGCAAATATGGAACACTGGGTCAATGAACACCCGTCAAGATAGCTTTTTATGAATAATTTAATATCTTGAATCATCAGGTTACTCTTATCAAAGAAGGAATTGGTTCTACTTGACCTTGTGTGGTTTCTGTTTTTTAAACATCTGAATATAGTACCCCCGGGATTCCTCGCTGATGATTTCAAAACCATGGTGCCGTCACAGTCCATCACGGGGCATAGAATGGTGGTCGCTAACAGCTTGTGCATCCTAAACTATTCAAACACCATGTCCTGCGGTTGCATGAAGAGTGTGAAGTTCCATGGATTGAAAAATCTTTAGGCACTATCTGCAGTATGTAACTCGTTCGTCTCTCTCTCTAAAATTCTCTCCACTTCTTCTAGATTCCCGCACTATGACTGATGCTTACGAGCAAGTATTTTTCTTGGACAGAAACCCCTACTAAAATACTACTTACCTGTCACGTTAATTTAATTCCACCCCATGATTGGTCCATTCCTCCAATGACAGAGAGAAGTTTTCAAAATTTGAACCCCAGGGCACTTGCACTTTTTAAACATACAAGAAAAGCTTTACCTTCAATTCCTAAATTCCATATAAGAAATTTCCTTCAATTCTCATTAACATTCTGAAGTACGTAATATTACGCATAAAAAAAAAATGTACGTATTATTGAAATTTTATTAAAATTCTTTATTTTCTCATGTGTTTTGGGATGTAATGTCCGACTCTGCCATCCAAATATTTCCATCCGTATAACTTATAGATCTTCCAACTTTCGAATAATCTGTAAATGATTATTATTACTTACATTGTATTATATGCATAAATAGATTGCTTAAGGTATTCAATGTATAACGAAGGGATTTTGACTGATTTTAAATAATTTTAAACTAGTTAAAAGCACACAGCTAGAAAACAATAAAAGTGAAATAAACCAAATTCACAAGACTTATAACATGTAAGGAGACGGTCATTTTGCACATTTACAGTTTTTGAAGAGTTATCTGCCCTTGATGAAAAGAAGAAAATTTTTGATTTCACAAAATTTCTGCGGTTAATAATTTTTTTTATTTTATATTTTAATAAAGAGGGAGTTTATGCATATTTTCACCAAGAGATTTCTTTGAAATTCAAATTACTTTTTACAATATCTTATAAAAACATGCACTGCCCATAGACTTCAATGTAAAATTCAAAGTGATATTAATTGGACAATAATCAAAATTTTGTAAATTCCTTTGGTGGAGCATTTTCATTTGATAATATCTTCAAATTGCTACCATGATTAAAATATTGGACCGTTCATTTATTAGGTACAAAATATGGTCGTTATACATTGAATACCTTAATGTTTAAATTTTGTTTTATTCTACTAGCGTTTATAAAGAATAACACTACATTACCTAAATAAGGCACGGAAGTGATTTATCCGTTGCCCTGTCCTTGCACAGACGCATCAACCACGCACATTCCATTAAAATGAAGGGATTCAGTCCATTCACAAATGCAAAAGTGGCTAATAAAATTCTCTGAAAGTGATTGAGGAACGGTGACCAAACAACCTCCTTGTGTTCACTGGCCATAGTCTTGCCGGACCACTGCTTGTAAATATCTTTGTTTTTACTTTCCATCTTGTATATAAAGTAAGAACCAATGATAGAAAAAAAATCTGTTTCTTTTATATTATGCTGATTAAAATTTAAATTACGTTTAACGTCACCCGCGCGCGTAGGTTTTGGCGAAATTGCTGTTTTGAAAAAACAAACAAATCGGAATTTGATTAGCCGTTCCGGTTTGCTTTTTCATTTAGCGTCTTAATTTTATATCCCGTTTGAGAGGAAAACATGCGCTATCAGAGGCAGTTCGACAAAAATGGGAATATATGTCACTATTAAAGAGAAGGAAACGTACAAAAATGGTTTGAATAGAGCAATTATGGATCATTTTATGATCGAAATCGACGATAACACCAAATTTGCAGAGTGTTTTATGTCAGTCATTAAATCACAGAACCTGGGTTCTTCGTTGTTTTTGCACAGATAAGACCCACCTTCGCCCAAAGATGAAGTTCGTTGCTTTATTTCTAAAGTAAAGGACAAAGATGAAACAAGAGTGAGTCCGACACTATGCATTAAGTCAGCACTTGAGGCCCATGGTTGTCAATTTCTTGTGTTTGAAATAGTAAGAAATGATCATAATGCAATCACACCCACAACATCTAATTCAAATGCATTCAACATTCTCATGAAAAATGCAAAATCCCAAGCCTTGGAATCACGCATTTATCCATTGAAATATGCTAACCCACAAAGGGGTGACTGGGTTTTATTTACTGATATTTCTGGTTTGTTTGAAAAGGAGGGGGCATATTTTAATAGTGGTCAAGAGCTTGTGGCTAGGAAAATTGCCAATGAAATTAGCAGCAGTATTTATTACATTTTGCCACATCTTTCTAAACTGAAAACAAGGGGATATATAGCTTGCCAAAGCTTTTTATGGAGAATCTGCAAATTGGGGAGGATGCATCCCAGCAATATAATAACCCTACTAGTCACAAGCATAGGGCTCCAAATTTATCAGCAAACACATTTAAACAGTTTGCTGATGCAATATTTGGGATTCTCACAGAACCTGTTTTTACAACAAAGATTTTATACTTTGAAACAGAATGTCACAAAATTAGCAAAGCTCTATGTTAGGCATGCACAGTATCTTGACTCATGTAATGAAGCTATGAACAAAAACCATTCTTCATTTGAACCACTCAGATCTGCAAATGATGGTTCTTCCTCTGTGTTCCAAACGAAACCAGGTAATGCTCTTAGAAAACAAGCCATTATTGATCGGTACAAGTCGCTTGAACTCAAATTAAGTTCTCTACCATTTTATAAGCCCCTACTTGTGAATGAATTTGCTCCTATTGATAGAAAAAAAGAGATATAGATACATTTCAAATTTATCCCTGCCCTACCAAACAGAAACCTACAGTTAAAGTGCAGGGAATTATGTTGGTTCATCTCATTTTGTGTGGCGTACACCACCATGTCCAGATTTTAATACTTCAAAGCAAGTTATTTCAGACGTAGACAATACCTGTGTACCACACAAGAATGATGCGTCGGGAGTTTCAGTCAAGGTTTGAGGGGTTAGTCAAAACAAAGCCTGTAATACTGCAAGGAATTTATCGATTTCTTACCAATGACAGTACACAGGTTGTTATTGATATTTCAAAGGAGGTGAAGGCAAGGTTAGACATTCTTATTCAATCTGGTGACTATGAAAAATTGATAGATCTCAGAGAGCTAAACAAAGGCAAGCCTATGTAGTATGATGCA